TGCAAGCGAAGTCACACTATTGCGAACCTTCTCTGACTTGAGATCTCAAGAAGAATCTTTCTTCAGACAGAAGTCTAGAATCCGCTGGCTCAAGGAAGGAGACTTGAACACAAAATATTTTCATCACTTTGTTAACAAAAGGAGACTTCACAATAGAATCCTAACTGTTTCAACAGAGGAAGGTGTGCTAATTACCGATCCTCAGGAAGTCAACAGCCACATTGTACGCCACTTTCAGAGTTTATTAAATGGCAGTTCAGCACCAGCTCAACCTTCTGTTTCAGAGTTGGAGATTCTTATTGAGAAAAACTTAGATGAAAATCAGAGGACTAACCTAACTCAGCCGATTACTGAAGAGAAAATCAAATTAAATCTCTTCTCGCTTGCTAAGGACAAAGCTCCTGGCCCTGATGGTTACAATGTCGAGTTCTTCAAACACACATGGGAGATCATTGGCCCATCTATTCTGGCGGCTATAAAGGACTTCTTTGAGACTGGTCGAATGCTTAAAGAGATTAATAACACCATCTTAACGTTGGTGCCGAAATCCCTCAATGCATCGGCCATGAGCGACTTCCGACCAATTGCATGCTGCAACACCCTTTATAAATGCATCTCCAAAATCCTTGCTGGGCGCATTGCAAAGGTTATACCGACGTTGATTGGATCTTCCCAAACAGCTTTTGTTAAAGGCCGCAGAATCAGTGACAACATCATGGTTGCATAGGAGCTTTTTGCGGACTTTCACCATGAAGCTTACCTACCTAAATGTGCCATTAAGGTTGACTTCCATAAAGCCTTTGATACGCTTGATTGGAACTTCATTGAAAGGGTACTTACAGCCTTCAAATTTCCAGCTTTTTTCATTAAGCTGGTTATTACTTGCATCTCAACTGCTAAATTCTCGGTCTCCATTAATGGAGAATTGCATGGGTTTTTTGTTAGTAGCCGAGGGATACGTCAGGGCGATCCCCTATCGCCGTACCTATTCATCCTAGCCATGGAAATCTTCTCAGCTATCCTCAAGTCCAAAACTGACAGCCCATACTTCCAGTGGTTTTGGCGTTGCAAGAAACCTCGCATATCTCATTTGTTCTTCGCAGACAATGTTCTTTTATTTTCGCAAGGGCACATGAGATCGTTAGAGCTTATAATGGAATCCCTTGATTTGTTCTCAAACTATTCTGGCTTAAGTCCTAATCTTAATAAGAGCAATATGTACCTCTCGGGAGGTAATCCCGAACTCCGTAGTGCTCTTCTTCAATGCATCGGTTTTCAACAGGGTTTTTTGCCCTTTCGTTACTTGGGGGTGCCTATTATTTCCTCTAGGCTGCGTAAAGAGGATTGCAAATTCCTGATAGATTCCATTACGGCACGAGCCCGTTCTTGGACCCAAAGATTTCTATCATTTGCTGGTCGCGCACAGCTCATACAATCAGTTTTGCTTTCCATCCAACTTTACTGGGCCGCGATATTCTCCCTTCCCAAATCGGTCTTGAATAGCATTGAGGCTATACTTCGACGTTTCCTTTGGAAAGGTCCTGGCTTAGGAACGGGAGGTACTAGGGTATCTTGGAATGTCGTTTGTCTCCCAAAAGAAGAAGGCGGCCTCGGGATACGAAGACTTATTGACTATAACAGAGCCATGACCCTAAAGCACATATGGATCCTTTTCACCGATAAGGAATCTATGTGGTGCAAATGGATACATTCAAACTTTTTAAAGAAGAAAAACTTTTGGGTTGTATCCAAACCCACCTTTTGCTCATGGACTTGGAAGAAGATTCTTGACTTGCGAGTCTCAGCCCATACCTTTTTCCGGTGGAAGATTGGCGATGGCCGGTCCATATCCTTTTGGTATGATTGGTGGCACACAAGAGGGCCCCTTTACCTTCTTTTCAACAATACGGACATTTACCAATCTCGGATCCCGCGGGACTTTTCGGTTCGGGATTTTTTCCACTCTACATGGCAACCATCAGCAACCTTACACTCTATTTTGGAATGGATGGATGATCTTCCAAGATTAGAAGATGACACTCCGGACAGCTTGATATGGAGCCCAAACCCGACTGAATCCTTCTCGGTGGCCCGGGCCTGGAATCATATTAGGAAGAAAGGCCATCCAGCCCCTTGGCACTCCCTTATATGGGACTCTCATTTGACCCCCCGCCACTCCTTTTTATTATGGATTGTGTCTTTAAAACGGCTACCTACCCAGGTTTTTCTTATGTAAAATCGCCGGATCGAATCAGGATTATGTGCTTTCTGTCGCACTATCCCAGATTCCATCAACCATCTCTTCTTCGAATGCCCCGTTACTAGCAGGCTAGCCTCATTTTGGGCAACCAAATGTAACCTGCCATGGCGTAATCGTCCGTGGCTGGAGCTTCTTTCGTGGGCCATCAAAGTTTGCGGAGGCTCTTCATTCGCCCACCGACTTGCTAGATTTTCCTTTGGTGCTCTTTGCTACATCATATGGACTGAGCGGAACAACTCTCTCTTCAGAAACAAGAGTATTTTCATTCTGGGAATACGCAAACACATTCTCAAGCTAGTGAAGGATAAAGCTTTATCCTCAGGGAAAATTGCTGACACACCTACAAATAGGCGACTACAAAGGAACTGGGAACTCTCACCTTCCATTTTTTCATAATTTGGTTGTGTAGTTCTTTATCTTGTACCTAGCATTGTTGGTTGTTAGTCTTTTGGTTTTGCCTTGTTGAGTGCCCCCCCTCTCTCGGACTTCTTGTAAATTCGGGGCTCGGGGTTGTCTCTTGTAGTTTTCTTGTATTTGGTGATTAAGAAAAGTAATACAAACTCTTACCTTTACCAAAAAAAAAAAAAAAAAAAAACAACTGCGAAAGCATACTTTTCACATGCGTCTGGTACTGTTCACCCGGTTACTGTGCAGTTTCTCTCCCGAATGAAGGCGTCTGGACACTGTTCACCCGTCTGAATTGCCACCAATTCTGGTCTCTCCGGCCGTCGATTTGTGCTGTCCTTTGGGGTTGGGCTTCACCAGGTGCTGCTCCATCACTTGTGCGAAGGATTTCTCTGTTGGTAGTTCCTGCTCTTCGCAAAAATAGATCTGGGTTTCGGCTTAGTTGCTGTTCTTCGTTTCCTGCTCACCCGTCTGGTCCCGTCCTGATTCGTATCATTTTGACCGGCGATTTTGGGTGAGTCTTGGTGCTGCTGCGCGCCTGTAGCTGGTTAGTCCCTCGTCCAGTTGTTTTCTCGCTTGGTGACCCCAATTAATCGAGGAAGCAGGTCTGGGCTCCTGTGTTCCTGATGTTCGAAACTATTGTTCACCCGATTGAGCTTTCTGGGGTTAGGGTGTTTCCGGTGGTCTAACCTATCTGGAATCTGGAGGATAGGGTCGTATGGGACCTCTCCCTCACATACTCTCTGGCTAATTTGTTTAGTGCTCTTCTTGTGGCTCTTGAGTGGATCTGGAGTCTCCAGACCTGGGTATTCTGGTTTGTGTTGATACTGGAGAGTGGGTGCTGCTTGGCTGATTGTGGGTGACTGTGCCATGTGGTTGTTCTCTCCCCCTGTTGGACGAGATCTCTTGGATGGAATAATCATCTAAGTGAATCCATGGATGGTAATCCCACAGAAAAGGATCCTCCCCTGAAAGCTTCTAGTTCGAAGGCAATGCAAAAACAGGGAATGGCTAAGCAATCTGCTATGGCTAAAACCCCTGTTATGGCAAAACCTGGTATTCTTGAAGATACCTCGCATCCCACGATTCACGTGGAACTAGTGTCTCTAAAAACTGGTGAAGCCTCAGCAGCAATTGGCCAATCTGTTGCCCTCCCGAAGTATCCCGCAACGGCTAATGTTGGCTCAACAGAAGCCAATCGCAGATCATCATCTTCGGTTGTATCTGCAAATTTAAAAGCCCGAGATCCTCAGGGGTGTAGGTCTCGTAGTAGAGGCCAAAGCAGGGGAAGATCCTCACTCCATCCGTCCCATAATTCACAGAACAATGCTGGAACTTCATCAGACCAGCAAAAGGTCCCAGTGTCTGGTATGGGTCGTAGCAGAAGCAAGGGAAAGATTCCGTCCAATATTCCACCTCGCGACTCCAATGTACAACCTGCTCAACGCTCTTGGGCAGCTGTTGCCAAATCTGCGGTGAAGGGCTACTCCCTGTCCTATATTCCTCCAACTATGGTGGATGGAAAACCGGTTGTCGAAATCTCTGATGAAATTCTAGGGGATACTAACCCGTTGTGGTCGGAGTGCATTGTTGGCTATTTCGTTGGCAAGAAATTGCCCTTTAAATTGACTGAGAGTGCAGTTCAGAATTTGTGGAGGACACAAGTGGCAGATGTCCTAGCAAATGTAGATGGGTTCTATTTCTTCCATATACCTGATGAAGCCTTTCGCAGGAAAATACTGGACAGTGGCCCGATCACTATCCTTAGGGTGCCTATGATCCTCCAGCAGTGGCACCCAGAGTGGAAGCTCAACAAAAACCAACACCAGGCTCTCCCGGTCTGGATCAAACTAAGGAACTTCCCTTATGCCTTGTGGTCGGCTTCGGGAATCAGTGCGGTAGCTAGCCCAATTGGGAAACCGTTGCATGTTGATATGCATACGGAAAAAATGCGAATGATCTCCTATGTTAGAGTATGTATAGAGATCAAGGCGACCCAACCTCTTCTGGATTCGGTGGATGTTCTCTTGAATGGTGAAACATGGTCGATTAAAGTAGAGTATGAATGGCGCCCTATATCCTGCTTGTCTTGTGGTACATTTGGTCATCGGTGTGCTAATCCCACTGAGGCGCCCATTGGGAGTCCTCAAGTCAGTCCAGCTCCTGTGTTGGCTATTAACAAGCCATCTCTCGTGGGTGGTGATTGGGAGACGATCAAAAAGAAGCGGGGACATGCCAATCCATCCTCTGCAGAGCTGCCCCCCCGGTCTCTATTGCGCCTATTCAAAGTCCTGCTATCGAGGCTGCTAATACTCTCCCTGCCCTAGACCCTGAGATGTCCTCTCGGGATTCTTCTGAAGCCTCCTCTGGTTCAGAAGTTAATGAAGAGGATTCAGCTAGCAGTGTTGGTAGTGATCAAGATGAGGACTCCTCGACCCCTGATCCGTCGTCTAGAGTGATCTTGCCCCATCATGATCCTGCCATTCATGCTCATTCCAGGGATGCCTCTATTTCTGAATGCAATGCGCCCAAGGGTATTGACCCAGTTCAGGGCGGTTCGGTGGTCCCCGTGTCTTCTCCAGTGGAAGTGCCTAGTGTAGCTCACAACCACCCTCCCACCAAGGCAGCCAAACCGAAATCAAGAAATCGGGGTGGCTCTAAAAGGCGGTAATCCTATCCTCTTTTTGCTATATGTTTTTTGGTATATGGGATATTAGGGGCCTTGGTGACCCCATTAAGCAGGCCAAAATTAGAGCCCTTGTTAGAGCTCATAATATCTCTTGCATTGGCATACTTGAGACGAAGATTAATCAGTCCCTTTTTGAAAAGATATCAATTGGGCTTCTACCTGGCTGGGTTTGGACTGCCAATTACAATTATTCTCCTCGTGAAAGAATCTGGATTGGGTGGAAGCCCTATGAGGTTGACCTGCAAGTCATCTCCTTATCCTCTCAAGTTATCCACGGCCATATCCGTGTTTTGGCTCTCAATAAGACTTGTTTCTTCTCGGTTGTGTATGGGGAGCATACCTTTACTGCTAGGCGTTCTTTATGGGCTGACCTTATAAGGTCCAGCGTTCCTTTTGAAGCTGAACCTTGGCTGGTTGCAGGCGACTTCAATGCCATCCGATTCGACTCGGATAGGATGGGTAGTTCTAATACATGGATACCGGCGTTTGATGAATTTGGCCATTGTCTAGATCAAGCTGGCCTGGATGACCTAAGATACATTGGCCATCGGTTTTCTTGGGCAACATCATCTGGTGCCTCGCGCAAACTTAGGAAAATTGATAGAGCATTGGTCAATGATTAATGGCTCAGCTCGTTCTCTTTCTCGGAGGCCAACTTTCTAGCCCAAGGAGTCTCTGACCATTCTCCCATTATTGTTAGAATTGCCCCCGCTTCCTCAGCTAGGAAGCCCTTTAAATTCTTCAATTATTGGATGTCTCATCCGTCGTTCCCTACGCTGGTTTCTCAGGTTTGGGATTCTTGTATTGGTGGTACTCCCATGTATGTCCTTTGCCAAAAACTTAAACTGCTCAAAGGGCGTCTCAGGCAGCTCAATAGAGATTCTTTTTCAGACATATCGGCGCGTACATCGCAAGCCAGGGCTGAACTACTGGCTACTCAAGACGCCCTAGTACTGGACCCTTTCAATTCGGACTTGGCTATCCTGGAAAAGGACCATCTTCAGGTATTCTCGGATCTTAGACTCCAGGAGGAAAGTTTCTTTAAACAGAAATCAAGGATTAAATGGTTGAAAGAGGGGGACATGAACTCCAAATATTTCTACCATTTCGTGAACAAGAGACAACTTCATAATCGGATCCTTTCGGTGTCCGATGAAGAAGGCACTGTTCTCTCTGACCCAATTATGGTTCATAGCCATATCATCTCATTCTTTGAGACTCTACTTAAGGCGAACTCTCCTGCTATTCGGCCTACTTGTGCAGAAATCCGGTCTGTGGTGGATCGAGCCCTCAGTCCTGATCAAATTCTCTCTCTCTAGAGAAGTAACTGCTCTTGAAATTCGGAATGCATTCTTCTCCCTTGCAAAAGGTAAGGCCCCCGGTCCCGATGGCTTTAATGTTGACTTCTTTACATCTTCTTGGGAAACTGTGGGGCCTTCGGTTGTGCTCGCCATTAAGGACTTCTTTCGGTCAGGATCATTGCTTAAGGAGATCAATACAACGATTCTCACTCTTGTGCCGAAGATCCCCAATGCCTTGTCCATGAATGACTTTAGGCCTATTGCCTGTTGCAACTCTGTCTATAAATGTATTACTAAGATTTTGGCTAATAGGCTTGCCTCTGTTCTGCCATCCATTATTAGTAATTCCCAAAATGCTTTTGTCAAGGGGCGGAGGATTGGAGATAACATCCTTCTTGCTCAGGAGCTCTTTGCGGGGTTTCATCATGACCCTTATCGGCCAAAGTGTGCAATTAAGGTTGATTTTCAAAAGGCCTATGACACAGTTGATTGGGCTTTCTTGGAAATGGTTTTGCAAACCTTTGGATTTCCCCAGTTGTTTGTTAAACTCATCATGGAGTGTGTGACATCCCCGAAATTCTCCATTTCCATAAATGGGGAGTTACATGGATTCTTTTCTAGTGACAGAGGAATACGCCAAGGGGATCCCATGTCTCCCTACCTCTTTACACTAGTGATGGAAGTACTCTCTGGGATTCTCAACACTTGTGCGTGGTGTCCGGGGTTCAAATACTTCTGGAGGTGTAAGCCAGTGGGTTTAACCCATTTGTTCTTTGCTGATGATGTCCTTTTATTTGTTGAGGGGAATACAACCTCTACTACCTTGTTGAAGGAAGGACTGGACCTGTTCTCTAAGTGGTCTGGTTTGAAACCTAATGTCAACAAAAGTGAGATTTATCTCTCTGGTGGATCGGCGGAAATACGTGGACAAATCCGAAATGTGTTTGGCTTCAATGAAGGTATGCTCCCTTTTAGATACCTTGGGGTTCCTATCATCTCAACTAGGTTGAGCAAGGCGGACTGTAGCACTTTAGTGAACTCCATTATTGCACGAGCTCGGTCTTGGTCCCAAAGATTCTTATCATTTGCTGGCCGACTACAACTCATTAAGTCAGTACTTCATGCTATTCAAGTTTTCTGGGCAAGTGTTTTTACACTACCACTATCTGTTCTGTCTAGTATTGAATTGATCCTTAGACAGTTCCTTTGGAAGGGCCCGGACCTTGGTGTTGGTGGAGCTAGAGTCCCCTAGTGTGATGTATGCCTCCCTAAAGAGGAAGGTGGCTTGGGTATTCGTAGACTCCTTGATTGTAATCATTCAGCAATGCTCAAACATATATGGACTCTGTTCACAGATAAGGAATCCCTTTGGTGCAAGTGGATTCACTCCATTTTTTTGAAGAATAAGAATTTCTGGATAGTGCCTAAGCCGACTTTTTGTTCTTGGGCTTGGAAGAAAATCCTCGACATCCGCCGGGATTTTCATATGTTCTTCAAATGGCAAATTGGTGATGGAACAACCACTTCATTCTGGTTTGATTCTTGGCATCCCAAAGGCCCTCTTTCGGCTATATTTTCTAATAGGGACATGTATTGTTCTGGTATCCCGAGAGAGGCCTCTGTTCGGGAATTCCTCTCCGGGTCTTGGCATAGCTCGCGAATGCTTCAAACCTTCTATTCCTGGCCGGATGTTATACCTGTTTTGGATATACAGAGTCCTGATCGTTTCGTGTGGAAGGGCCATTCGACGGGCGTCTTCTTTGTGGTCTCGGCATGGGAGCAGATCAGAATCTGCAAACCGATTGTCCCTTGGAGCTCTTTCGTGTGGGATCAGAGCATCGTGCCGAGGTATAGTTTCTTGTTGTGGGTCATATCGCTGAATAGGCTCCCAACACAGGTTTTCTTGCTTAATTATCGCAGAATATTAGAAGGTGTTTGTGCCTTTTGTAAATGTAGACCCGATTATGTTGATCATCTATTTTTTGGGTGTCCTGTCACGGGCACCCTTGCACTCTTCTGGGCGGAAAAATGTAATTTATCATGGAGAAATCAGTCCTGGCAAGATACTCTTCATTGGGCCACCCGGTTCATAGGCGGCCACAGCTTCTCCCAATGCCTTGCTCGCTTCTCTTTTGCAGCATTATGCCACATTATATGGACAACTCGAAACAATATCCTATTCAGGAATCAACCCCTCTTTGTGCCGGCCCTACGGCAACACCTTGCAAAGCTCATAAGGGATAGAGGTCTGTCCCTCAAGCCTGTTGAAGATAATCCTCGGAACAGGAGGATCCAAGTCAATTGGGGTATTTCGCCTACCATTTTTGATTAA